AGAGAGAGAGAGTGAGAGAAAGAGAGAGAAAGAGTGAGAAAGAGAATGGAAGAGAGAGAAGAGAGAGAGGGAGATGGAGAGAAAAAGAGAGAAAGAAATAAAAAGGCAGAGCGATACGAAGAGAAAGGGGGAGAGAGAAAAAGAAAGAGAAAGAGAGAGAGAGAAGGAGTGAACGAGAAAGATAGATAGAAAGAGAGAGATAGAGAGAGAGAGAAAAAAGAGAGAGATAGAGGGCAAGAGAGAGAAAGAGGTAGACGAAAGGGTCGAGCGACTTCAACCTGTGTACCCATCCCAAACACTATCTGGTATAATTAATTTATTCAAATCTGCCCTAGACATCGCTACTCTGTTTCGTTGCCATGGTTTGTTAGTGTATGTGTGTGCATGTTTGTGTGTGTGTGTGTGTGTGTGTGTGTGTGTGTGTGTGTGTGTGTGTGTGTGTGTGTGTGTCACTGTCATTCACATTATAATCATTTTTTTATTTAGCTCACAAGCAAGCACCTATTTGCAGAAAAAGGGAGTAAAGTACATTTCCTATTGATAAATTTGAACTCAGATTTTTTTCCTTTGGAAGCCTTATACTGCTTTAGGTTTGTTAATGGCCGGACTGGTTTCACAATAACAGGGATTGGCATTGTAGAGGTTTTCCGAAAGCGTCTGCCCTCAATACCCCTAGTCCCACCCCCTCTTCCTACCCCTCCCCTTATCTACCAGCCCCTCTCCCCCCCTCCCTTATTCAAACCCTCCGCTTATCTTACAGCCCCTCTTCCTCCCCCTCCCTCATCCAAACCCTCTGCTTATCTTACAGCCCCTCGTCCTCCCCTTCCCTTTTCAAAACCCTCCGCTTTTCATCCAGTCCCCTCTTACTCCCTGCTCCCCCCCCCCCATACCCGGCCACCTCCAGCCCCCTTCACTCCAAACATCAGCGGCATCGTTCCCCTGATCACGACAGCGAGTGATTAAAGTAATTGAGGATCTGCGCAGGCCTGTTTACCCGTCAGCCATAATTAACATACACCGGAAGGGCGCTTACGGTGTCTCGACAAGATAGTTGCCCTCGGGACATTATGGTGTCACAGTTCTTTAGGTCGTCTTCACAAATTTAAACTCCTGGGGCAAAACCCGATTAATATAAAGTCTCTTTTCAACAAGTCCAAAAATGATGCTCTAATATAACGCCGAAAGGCCACGTATGAGGCCGGCCTTCCAGTTGCGTGGATAATTTTTCCATCGATTCAAAGCTTCATTTTGTGATTGCCGTTAACACTTGTTAACGAACCTTTAGAATTATTTGAGCACATCACCTTTATTATTCAGCCTTGAGGCACCTCTCTCTATCTCTGCTCTTCAAGCCCCCCTTCCTCTGTCTCTGTATCTCTGTAGCTCTCTCTCTCTCTCTCTCTCTCTCTCTCTCTCTCTCTCTTTGTCTCTCTCTGTCTCTCTTTCAGTTTCTATCCCTCGCTCTCTCTCTCTCTATCTCTCTCTCTCTCTCCACCAGTATCCTTTTCTTATTGGTTGTCATACTCATACAAACTCACACACGCGCACACACACACACAAACAAACACACACACACACACATACAAAAACACACACACACTCAGGTACATACAAATATCTTTACCCCCCTCCCACACACATACACACAAATCGAATGTGTACTGACACACAGGTCAGCAGACAGATACTCTCTTTCTTCCAACATAATGTATTATTCATAGTCTCATTAATGAAAACCAATTGCAAAAAAGATGTTCATATACAAGAAAATATACACCAGACCCCCAAGTACATTCGATCGGGTGAGTTTCACGAGAGCGTCTTGAATCAGTAGAAGAGCCAAGTCGAACCACATGCATTAACTTCAAAGAGAAGAGCATTTCTGAACACAGTCTCCACTCTCAAGAATTCGTTATGGTGGGGAGGGGGAACCCTATCAATTTTAATACTCTATTTCTCGATTGGGACAGAGCCAGTTTGGAAGATCATAATAACATGATAATTCTACGGTATGAAAAATGCAAAACTGTTACTTCGCTAAATGTATTCCAACAGACACACAAAACTGACCCTGTTTAGGAGTTCATTCCAATTTATACGCTGTTCCCTGACTTTAAAAGAATGTAAATGGAAGCTGATCTTAATGTCGAGTGCAAACAGCGGGGCAATTTGGGCCGCAGGATAACTTTGAAAGAGTCAGCGTTTTACTCTTTAGGCTTAATATTAACGTTCACAAAGGATAAAACCTAGGTGAAAAAGGTACACCGGTGCTTTGCATCGGAAGAGGGAGTTACCTTATTCTTCAGATTTTCTCGTGACCTTTTCGCTCGTACGGTGTACTCGGAGTCACGCATGAGCTATAGGTGTCATTGTGATGAAATCAGCAGCTCATGAAAATATTGAAATCGAAACAACTGCATTTTCCGCGTGTTGATCAATTTCTACCGATTTTTATTTTTGTTTTGCGCTCAAAATCTTGTATGAACATTTAAAAACACATTTGTGTTTTGTTTTTACTGAGATGAGAATTGATCAAACGGATAAAACATTAATCTGCAGTTTCGAAGGACACTACAGCTTAAGAAGTCATCCAAATTTGGCGTCCATTTTCTTGCTAATTTTACCTCAGACACCAAACGACCCCCTACCTCCTTCAATCATAAATATCTCAATATCTTGATTTTTATTCAAAATAGATGGGTAATTTTTCATCAAAAAGAAGGCAGATGAACACTCTTTAAAATAGTACCAATAACTCTTTATGCCCTCAGATTGACGAGCGCCTCATTTTACTGTGTCGTGATACATAATTCAGGTGGCTGAGACCGATGTGCTTACGCCACGAAAGGTAAACGCACCCTATCCTAGTCACGCTTGATGTATAGTGCTTGTGGTCTCTATTATTATAATGATATTCGTCTGAGACCCTGGTGCAGAATCATCTTGTCGTGGGGCAAGCTATGATTGTTGAGTATGATTCTTTTCCAGCATATGATTTGTTTCAGTGATTGCAACAAATGTTTTGTTCCCCACAAAGGAACAAATCACAATGTTATATTCATATTAATATATTAGCCCAATCTGACTCACACAAAATGTATCCAGTTAAACAGAGTTTTAAATACACTGGCCCAATTTTATTGCAACGTTACTTTGTATCTAGAGAATGGCAGAGGAATCTTATTCATGACCGCATGTTGACTTTCTGGTTACGTTTATAATTACAATGGAATTCCCATTGAAACCAACAGTTTAAAAAAAAAGGAAAACAAATTATAAGCAAACATAATACACACTCATACAAATACACACTCATACACATTCACAC